TACATAAAGTCAATTCTCGATACGTTGCGCGGTAGCTCGATGCCCAGGCACTGTGTCAAGTTGCAGCTAGATTAAGTAATATTTCTTTGATTTTTATAGGTACACATGTATTGGTATCTTCAAACGCCCTAGATTGTCTTAATTTATGCAAAAGAAGTAGTTTTAGTTCAACATTTTAAAGTTTATTATCATCTATTTTCGAGGTCCCAAAGGTATTCTATTTTCCTTTTCCATTCTCTGTCTATATTACAATTAGATTGTGGTTGGCACCGAGTTGATCCAGATTCGGTTAAACTCAAACCGTCACTAATGAAGATACCGCATCCTTGTACAGAAAGCTAAAGTTACTGGGTTGGGCCTAATTGGGGATAAAAGCTAGAACATTTTGCATTAGCAAAGTTTACATGTCACCTGGATACCTACGTATTGTAAGTACCTAATAACGAAAAAGTTTTACAAAAACTGTGAGAGTGCTATGCTTCGGCACGAATGGGCTGGCTCGATCGGAGTGATACCAAGGCCTTAGACAAAACCGGCGTGAAACAGAAACCCAATCCTTCCCCTCTCCAAAAGGTACGGCGAGAGGCCCAATCCTTCCCCTCTCCAAAAGGTACACGGTTACTTAAATAGGTGTACACGGGTCACATTAATTGCTTACCATCGGGTAATCTGTCTGCTCGTTTGCTGTCCTAATGTACAAAAGTACATATTAACATCAATAATTTAGACATTACCAACGGCTTCAATCAACTAAATAATCTACGTAGGTAAATAAATAACGTCCTATAAATATTTCACAGAACAATAAATTCTACGTACAAATATTACTCTTGCAAACACCTCGTTTATCCGCGAGGGTTTTTGTGTCCTCTCCCGTGACGTCACAATTTTTATACTGTTCGGCCATTTAGATAGTGCCACAGTGAATGTTTCATGGTTTTTATTTTAATAGGTGGTACCAATAGTGTTTCACGCCAATTTGTTTTTGGTTCCACATTTCGTAGACAAATTGTTATCGTTTTTTGAACGAGTGAATATAAAAGACAATATTATGTTACGGGTCGAATGAGCAGAATACATAAGGATTTTTGAGTTTTCAATAGTACGATATTTATAAGCGTTGGCGTAGGTGGTCATGCTCTAACATTCTATAATTACTGTTCTAACTCAAGTAAATGTTGATAAAATAGTAAAAAAATACTATCTACAGATCACGCACTCGTTCCCATACGTGTATAGTTACAAAACACATAAAAAACACACATCTTTAAATAACATTAGCAGTCTGTCCTTACGTCACATGGGTATGTAACTATTTTCCTTAATGCCATTTCCCGATTTTCCTCTCTACTATTCTAAAATTTTCTTTTCAACAAGAATCTTCTCTTTTCACAATGAAATAACAAACGAAATAAAAAAAGAATCGGTATAATTGGTGGAGGTATTGTTGCGTTTTGCGTTTACCAACACATTTTGCCTTTAATTGATTTATAGAAGTTAAGCGCTGCATGATATATTTAAATTAAATGCATTAATTAATCTGTCATCATGTACGTCTATATTGTACACACTCATACAACACAATATAAACGCGACACGAAGCACAACACACACTACAAATTGTTTGTGAACACAAATTTTAATTAAGTACATACTTTGGTAGGTATTGCCGCTGAAATATCTGTGTAGAGGTGTTACATAAGTACCTAGTAAATTGTAACAGTATTTTATCGTAATTAGTTACCGCCACCCGCCATAGACTGCCGTGTACCGTGTGCGAACTACGAACATCTGTCTCTTCCAGCTAATGTTTGGTGAATGAGTTTAATTTATGTTTTTATGTTTATTTAAGTTTATGACACTTGTTGTTGTAGTGTTACAAGAATAAAAAAATCGGTTGCATAATAACTTGGGTATAAAATTATGGTAATAATTTGAATTTGAATTTTTAGTGATAGTTTCTCTCGAGTTTCAAGTACCTAGTTAAGGTGGTCTAAAGTGCCTTTTAATAGCTTTTACTTTGAAGTGATCGAAGAGAAATATTTAATACACTTTCTATCACAAAAATAAATAAAATTTTGAGAAGTTGTACCTGTAAATATACTGAACTGACCCAGCAACTTGGTGTTTTTCCATCTAGGTAAACTTTTATCATTATCTTTAAACAAGAAACTTCCAAATTTAACGATATCATTAGTCCAAACACGATTTGTAGAAACCATAGATAGCCATAGAAAAGTATGGATGCGTCACAAAACGTATGCTATAAAAAATATCTTTGATGCCTAAATAATGGTATTCTGTCCTTTGGGCTCAAGGTAATCAACCGAGGTGGTTACCAAGCGTATGCCGTCTCAAATTTAAATGTATTAATATTTTTGGGCTCACATCAAAAAGAGATTGAAGTGGATCACGATTTGAATAATTTTACATAGACCTGCCGGGTTACCATGGAAATACGAGATTGACTTTATATCAACGAAACAACGTACTTATCCCTAGATATACCATAAAACGAAATAGTATTTTAGATGCATTTGATTCAATCTTGGTTTACCACATAGATACTGTTCTTGTTACAAAGTTCTCACAAACTCATACATAAGACGCAAATGTTCGCATTTCTCTCTTCCAATTCGTATTGGCGTCGGGAACATTTGGAACTCGGAATCCTGAAATTACAGCCGATGTTTGCCTATTAGGTAGCAGTGCACTCCCAACCAGCAGACGCGGCAGTCGAGGCGCTAGCAGTGAAGTATCGGAGCAAATATTCAACACGTTTCCGCAAACGTCTCTTCATTTTTAATACGTGCAACGTTTCCAACGAATACGTATGGCAACATTTGTCGACAGATAAAATTTTGCGGACCGTAGGTACTTACCTACCTACTAGCTTTCAGATTTTCTCATTTGAATGTCGTAAACAGATTCCTGCCTTTAAATTTTATGTCGACACCTTATTTTGTATGTGTTTTGATACGGACTCTTCAGTTGGTAATGGCGTAAATTGCTGCCATATAGTTTTATGGATGTATGACTTCACACACAACGAAATGTGGTTTAGGAATACGTAGAGCAACAATAGCTGGTTGCCAATCATCAATTATCGCGCCTAAATAGCCGACGGGCTCGTTAACTAGTTGCTGTGTTTGATATGTATTGTGTACGAACGCTAAATTATATAGATTGTGATAATGTCACTATTACATGCTCATATATTACCTACAATTACATACAATGTCGGCATGTACGGCTCCTGGCGTTCACAACTACGTTGCAATTTTAAATAGAGAATTTGAGCAATTATAAATGCTGCGAAGAATTATAAACGAGATTCGTTGTAATTGCTATATGGCTTAGCTCGGTTAATTAACTAATAAATTTTCGGACACCGGTCTGTAGGATCATCTAAAATTTTATTTTCATGCAAAATCATCACTTTTATGTAGGTAGTACTTATTTAACTCTCACAACTTGATATGGGTCGCAAGGAGTGTTTTTTACATTTAGGGACTTCTTTTTTTTGTCAGTGGTTAATCATCAAATGATTTCTCCCACCCAGGGTAAGGCGAGACAGAGTGTCAGACTTTTATTGACTAAAACCCCCCAAATTTCTCCTGCTTTAGGCTGAGGCCGCGGTGCCTCATTGCGCTTAGCCCGCAACCCCGGCAGGGACTCCTAACTTTTATATTTATGAAGGTGAAATTATGAATAAATGATTGCGAAATAGTTCCTTCTTAGTAAACTATCTAATTATGCTCAAAATATATAAAAGCTTTACTTTCTCGAGAAATTGAGTTAACACTTAACACAGCTGCGCAAATCTAAGTCAGGTGTATCATAATCCTCCGAAGAATAATCTCAGTGTAAAACTTAAGCCTAGACATTGTGTACTTAATAAAAAATTTACAAGGTACGGGCTGTCTATTTCGCTGACTTCCACTCAACAACATTAATTGAGGAATTTCTGCAAATCCAGAGTCACGTAGACGAAATATAATTTGAATTAAGGTCAGACGAAACCAAAGATAAAGTTAGCTAAAATACTTGGACATACCGCCTAATGTGAATGCTCGATTTAATATAAACCTTTTTGGTCCGTACCTGCAATAATTACTTGGATTCCGAAGGGATTGGTTAAGGGATTAAATTGCATAAACGTTACATTCACTTACTCGTGTAGGTACCTCCCTTACTTCTCCAAATCTCAGTTACCGAAGCTCTCGCCGGATGCGCTTCGCTTCAATTTAGATAGTACCTCTATAATTCAGGACTGAAACTTACAGGAAGGCTAATTTTCTGTCGCGGAGCGGAACAAGTTTGTTTGAAAATATTCAGAGCTCAAACTTTACTTAATGGATTCTTTGTTAAATGTGACTGAGGATTTTGAATCTTAGAAGTTAGTTGTTAAAACTGATAAAGTTCAGGTGGACTAAACGTTGGTAAACTATTAAAAGTTTAATATTTCACAAAAAGTTTTAAGTGTTGCGTAACGTTATTTATCTACTAATTTAGTTTAGATTTGTTGCTGTTCAAGAAGCTTTGTTACTCAAGAAGCCTACTTTCTACTCAGAAGTCTAGATTCAATAAAATTACGATATCTCCGAAATCGTTCTCATTCTTTGTAATTAAAAAAATATGTGATATCAAGGTTCCAACCCTGGACTATTTTTTACTACCAATGTACCTATCTATTTTTTTTGTATTTAGAGTTTGGTTTTTTTAATGTGATAGGTAGGTCGGCAAACGAGCATACGTATTACCTGATGGTAAGCAATCGCCGCCCATGGACAACCGCAACACCAATGGAGTTACAAGTGCGTTGCCGGCCATTTGGGGCTAAGGGTTTCGGATATTTACGGGAAGGATTGGAAATGAAAGGAAAACAATATCTAAAAGAACCTACTTGAGACAATAATATGATGATGCTGATGAAAGTGGTTGTTGACAGGCGCTTGCGCAGGCGGGGCCCCGGGGGGCGGTGAGTGCGGCGCGGGCGCATGGCGCTGCTGTACCGCGCGACGCGGCTAAAGGACCGCGCCGACACCCACGTGTTCACCTTCGTGGTGACACGCTCGGCCACGCGCGAGCCCGACCGCGATGTCACCTCCAAGGACTTCTGCTGCGCCCACCAGCGCTGGGCTGTTGCTTTCAGTCGCACCGACGCTTCGCTCGGTTAGTGAAGATAAAGATTTCACCCTTTAATAACGACGGCTTCCGAAAATCTTATTTGGCATCTCTTGTTGCAGGTGTGTACTTGGTGTGGCGTGGTGCGTGCGAAGGCATGCGGGTTTATGTCGATTTTACGTTCACACTCCTGAGCCGCGATCATTTTACGGCCAATGAAGGATTTTCCGGCAAACAGGTGCGCTTCAGCGCAGGCTGTGCCGCGCAGGGCCGTGGTCGTTGCGTGTCCATCGCTGAACTTAACACCAAGTTCGCTGATGCGAGGGGTGAGTTCCAACTGGAGCTCAGCATGTCGCGGGTACGCACGCTATACTCTTGTGAATTGCGCGCGCCCCGCCTCGATACACCACCCATAGCTTTTGCCGGATTTGACTGGCAGGTGTCGGCAACTGGTGGCGGTGGAAAGGAGCCACTGACATTACGGCTAATGAGATTATCAGGAGAAGGACAACGCTGTCGTGTACGATATGCACTTGCGCTTGGTGAGGGCGAAAGAAGACTACATTCAGGCCCGTTAGAGTGTGTTTGTGATGCTGATGGACGAACGCCACCTTGGAACCCTCGACCACCGTCCCGACTTCTAACTAAAGGGGTTCGGTTAACTGTAGAACTGGTGTGGGCACGTGCGATTGCCGAACTGGCGGTGCCAGCAGCTGGCCGCGCGGCTACATGCTACGACCGCGACAAGCAGGCGTGGGCGGTGCGCTGCGACATGCACTCTGAGATGGTGCGGTTGCATATGTTGTACCGCGACGTGCACCACGTACCACGCAACCACTTGCGTTACGTGAGCTGGTCTGCTTGGCTTGTGAGGTCGGGTGTGGCAGCTGGTGAACCTGATGCCGAAGAACTACCCGGAGCACCTTTCGAACATTACTACGCACAAGACAGTGCTGATGAAGGGCTCATGATGGAGACAGCTTTACGCGTAGAGGACATGTCTCGACCAGGCAGCGCATTCTTACATCCAGGTGGTGAATTGCGTGTACGTCTCGAATGGGGCGATACTTACCTACTTTTTCAAGCTACTTACCATGTATATGATGACCTTTGTCGGCTGCACGCGCATCAGATGAGGTTTGTATCCGAGCCGTGTAACAGCAAATAAATAACTTCAGATAGCTTCATTTAATTAATTTTAATTAACTAAAAATATTGTTCTGCAGGCGCGAGATTGCTGTGCTCCAGGCGGAGAACTATTCGTTGGAGCGACAGCTGTTTAGCTATCAAAAAAGCCTGGCCTACGCACAGGCGCAGGCGGGCGAACCGGCAGTGGCGGAGGCGAGTGGAAGGCGCTCTCCTGCGGAGCGCTCGCTCTCTACCGACACGGAGTATGCGTGAGAAGGGCCTGAGGACTTCTCTTTGTCGTCGCCTATGACGTCGCCCGTTCTCTACTCTTCTATCTTTTCGACTGATTCTGACGTTTTTGAGCGATTTATCTATTTTTCTAGACGTTTTATGGCGAGGTGCGCCCTCGTCCGCACCGCTTTCCGCCGGTCGCCTGCACTCTCGCCGCTCGATTCTATCGATAGCCGATAATTATACTCGACTACTTTTCTATTTGTCTGTACATAAAATATATTTAGAAGATATTATATATTATGTATATTTCTTAACTTGAAACTCGAATTCATATACTGCAACAGTCGATTTATGAATAAAAAAAGTCCGTAAAATAAATACCAATTTTGTCTCTTTATTTGTATCTTTTCTTGATATCCCTCATATACAATCACTATCTGCCTATATCTATCTTAGCATTAATATTATTTATTGAGATCATGTCTTTGAAAACAGCTCCCTATGAAAAGAAAAAAAAAACTAATAAAAGACAAGTGTAAAATCCTATATTACATGCTTAACATTACAACACTGAGATACGGAACGCAGCAGTTGTCAACTGTCAATATCAAGTCAATGTCATACTTGTCAAACTCAAGGCACGCAGAACCACGTTGTTGTGTTTATTTTGGAATCGTCGTGCATTACAAAGTAAAACGTAAATATGGCTCAAGGAAAATTAAAAGTAAAAAGCAAATTGCCAGCTGGAGCAAAGGCTAAGAAAAACAAGAATAAGGCAGGTAAAGCGGTGACCAAACGTCCCAACGCGCCGGTAAAGAGTAAAACTGCCGCGCAACGGAATAAGATGAAGACGAATGTTTCGAAGATGGTGAATGCTGCAGCTGAACAACAGTTGAGAGCACTGGCCACTAATACCCCACAATTGTCTGCGGCACAGCAACGAGTAGCTGCGGCTCCTACAGCACCTGCCCCCGCGAAATAACCTTACTCCTAAACAATGTTGTTTGTGTAAATTATTGAACGTTATTTGTGATGATTCTAGTTCGTATAACCGGGACAGTAAATTCAATTCAGTGATGTGGAATTAAAGACAGATTTAATAAATAAAAACTATACATTTCTTGACTTATTGGAATAAAAACTGATTACAATGGATTAGGCCAAGTTGTGTAATAATTGTTTCTGATGGTCTAGGTAGGTATATATTCAGCCTTTAATTTTTTTATACTTACTTAAATGTTATTAACTTGTATGATTAAAGCAACTATTTCTATACAATGTGTAACATTTGCGATTGATTAAAATATATTCAGTAACAACTATGTAAGCAAATGACCAAAAATCTAATTCTACAACTACTGTATGTTAACGGAGTCTATTCTGCACTTACTTCAATGTATCTTTACAAATATTTTGTAATATAAACTTGTGAAATACTAGTATTATAAGTGAAATTTAATCTTTAAAATTAAAACTATTTTTGTTTTACTCATTGTTTTCTTATGACGATTTCCAAATTGGTCCCTAAAGTGTTACGCCATATTGTAATAAGAATTTACAATTTTTTTACTAATTATGTTTGTTCTAGTTGCCAGTATGGCTGGCAAGACAAATAGAAAATAAATAGTTTCACTATATTTGCACTATGGCATCTCTGTGGTTAATATGGATATCAAAAATGTATATGTCGACTTTGGGAAATGATATTTAAAAAAAATAAGGAACATTTTTAGGAAGCTTTAGAGTCCAGAAGGGGGGTACCTTGTGAATGATGTCGAGGCAGTGCAGCGTGTGTAGACTGACGGGGGCGGCGGAGAGGGAGTCTTATATTTTATTGAATGGTTTTATGGTTAATGTTTTGTAATGTTTGTACTGGTCAGGAGTCAGGTGTAAATACTAGTTAAAGAAAAATTAGTAAGTATAGTAGATGAAAAGAAATATTATTTAATAGTACAAGTGTATTCACACGTTTTTGATGGGAAAAGGGTGGCAAACAAACAGAGTAATTACCTGATGTTAAGCAATTGGAACCCATGAACACTCACTAAACAGAGGAAATATAATTGGGCGTTTGAGGAATGTAGAGAATGTGTTGTTTCACGCCGATTTCTTCAGAGGTGCCGGTTTTAATCCTTTCAGTTCGTGCAGATGACTGTCCCAACTGGTCTTTAACTTCACATAGCTAATTGTTTATTTGTGGAAGTCCATTATTTTTTTTATTTTTTGGTTGGACGGTGAATTTGCAGACGGATTACTTGATGATAAGCAATCAGCGCCGCCTATTGACATCCGCAACGATGGTAGAGTTACGAGTGCGTTGCCGACCTTTTGGGGATTTAAGGATTGGGCCTCTAGTAACCTCACGCACACGGCGAAACACAACACTGTATTTGTTTCACGATGTTTTGTGATGCTGTGGTATCAGGTATCACACAATCCGGTCGAGCCGACCAACCTGTGCCGAAGCATGGCTCTCCCACATAATATTTTTTACATATCTAGTCATTTCAGCGTTGTCTGTAAATTCGTGTCAGTAAATAGCAGAAAAATAAACTTTCTACAGCCCACAGATTATGTGTGAAGTTTATTTATAAAAAGACATAAAACAATTCTTATTGTTATTACATCTTGCTAGTATAATATTATATATATATATATATCTGGTATAATATTATTCACTCGCTCTTATTTATTATGATAGTGCCTTCGATATCAGATTTATAGTCGCGAATAGATAATAATTAAAGAGTCGAAATATTTATACCGATACATAATTTATTTAAGATGCATAAATATTTAAATTTATCGTGTGTAGACAGTGCGTAGAATACCTATCCGACGACAGACGAATAAAATTAAGTATACCTAATAATAATAAAAAAACATAGATTATAAGCGGATCTATACCTACTAATATAAATAGTATTTTGTCGTTGGCTGAATGCCCATTTACAGAACTACATGTTGGTAAAAAAAATAGCCATTTATTTATCTATAGCTCATATTTTGCAACCTTCGTAAACATTAATAATATGTCTCCAGCTATAGTAATACCTATAGGAGTGGCTGGCTTGCGGTTAATAGTCACACGCAGATCGTTATAAAGCAAGCCAGTTTGTTTTCGAATAGGAATTAATAAAAAAAATATATGTCTATATTATTACTTGAGATTATTACTTGTTTACTTTTCACTATTGTTTTTCAGAAACCGTAGATTATTGATATGTCTGATAAACATCAATCTCCAATACAGAAAATCCTCTTTGGACAAAACCGTTGAAAATTCGAGTAATATGAAAAAAAAAATATAGGAAATGTTAAAAATAGCGGTATTTAAACGAGCTGTTCGCGCCGGTCTCACTGGTTAGATAATATTATTTACAACATACCGTAAATATTTTTCTATGGCCTAGGTATGCGAGCGTCTAAGAAATGTAGATTTTCTAGATTATTTAGATAATTTCTGTCTAGACTAGAGAAAAATGACAGTTTGAACTATGAATGAAGGTGTTGCTTTAAAAAGTTATTTTCGCGGAGATTCCAAGGTGATGTGGTGGGTTTCGTTTATACAAATCTATCTAGCTATCTACACACATGAAGATACCTACTTACACGTCATATACAATCCTGTAACAATAAATAAAATTTCAAACACATACAATTTGTTCCATGGTGAATGCACGCTTGGCGTGGTGGTTGGGCAATTGGCTACCGCGCGACGGGTCGCGGGTTCGATCTGTGCCAATCAATCATGCCATCAAGTAAATACACTCGGCTATTCCAGTTACTGTTATATTTAGCTAACAGTCTCTTCTTTCTACATAATATTTAAAATAAAGTGAATATTTTTTGTTGGTTTAATTCCTAAAACGGGAGTTACAAACTGGATGACCTCGATTATGTTTGTATTGGCAAGACGAAGAGAAATGTCCAATCGAGACACGACCGAACGCATGATCTAACTGTAGGGATGTCATTTGACACTTTGAGACATACGGTGGCGGTATCGACCCGCTTGGTCTGAGCAGCGCTGTGTCCTCAAGGAAGCAATCAGCGGCGACTTCTGTCGCCCGGATGATGATGCTGAGTTCACGTGATGGTGCGGAGCAAGAGGAACTAAGAGGAACTGAGAAGCCGTTTTTTTGCTGTGCAGAGCTTCTTTAGCTAGGACGCTGGGCGCATGAGACCTACATACACTTCAGCCACTGCAAGATACAGTTCATTCGTTGGGGTTGACGAGACGATAACTGGTCTGCAGACGGCAAGCTAATGTAGCTAACCACCCAACCAGAACCAGCTAGCATTGAGCGTACGGCGCTCCGTGTTGAATGAGCTATCAGACCATCCAGGCCAGGCCAATGGCCAGGGCCAAAGTCCAGCTGGGTTTCCTACAACACAAGCTCAATGATCTGCTGTGGCCGAGCTCGAAGCAGGAGCAAAAGAAGGAAGGCAATGGTTTTTAGGCCCTAACACAAATATAGGTTTGGTCTGCAAACAAATAAATTACCTGTATATACCTGTATAGTGATTAGCAACAGTCAGACATCTATTTATTCAACCAAAAGTAGCACCCAATTCCGAATTGCAGACACAAGTTTTTATTTCAAGTAAGCCATTATACATTAGTAATCAGTGTCCATATAAATACATAAAACATTAACGTTATCTCGACAAACGAATTCGAAGAAACGACTTTAGTTTGGCGCGTTCAAAAGTCGGTTTGGTGTAAAAATAAGTTGTGTATATAAGAGCAGAAATCGATTATATATAGGTGCTTATAAATAAATACATATGTATCAATTCAAGGCGATGTCGCACGGTGAGTGGACGGGCGTACCGGACACTAGGGTGGCCATGGGTTGGGAGAAACTGAGTTCCCGGTCCTAAGAACTTTAACTTGTGATATGAAACTTATTTTATTTACTTCTACATAATTTTAGATAAAACAACTTTTCTTAATTCTATACGGCGGCAAACCTCGTTAAATAAAATAAATTATGATCGGAATGATTTCATATCCATCGGTTGAACGATTCGTTAAATGCGTTTCTCTACTAGACTAGACCGTCATCACACGTGCTTGTCCAGTAAAAAGTTGTTGACCTTTGAGTCTAAATACCTATCAAATTAGACACGTATACCACAAGACACTAAAGATTTGGCGCGGTATGTTTTTGGAAATAACACGGTTTTTTTGTATAATTCGTCCCAGACAATTTTGGTCTAATCTCCTGCCAATATCCTTCCGAACTTTTGGTATCCTTGTGGTGCGGTTGCGGGGAGGGGGAGTCGTTGTGATGCGTCGATTTCTCCGAATAAGATTAATAAATGCAGGCGGGGGTTAGCAGGGTACGGGGTGAAGGGGGAGGGGGGACACATCGCGGCTAATGACACGCGCCGCTGCAGATATTTTTTTATCGCGAATTTAAAACATAAACTGGTTGCGGTAGCTACGTAGAGGGAGATGGCAGAAGGTTCGCTTAGAACGGACTTCAATTGTCAGACAACTTCATTGAATATACTTACATATGAATATATGGACATATATATACTTCTAGTTATTTACCGCACTTGGCGAGTTCGGAGTGACGTGAATTTATAAGTGTCGGTTCTCTCATTAAAACTACATAGTTCATAGCTTTTTCTTTGGGACGCTGAAGCTTCCCATTAAATCTTTCACTGAATTAAAGGGAAAGAAAACATTATTTTTAAGCGTTAAATAATAGAGGCCTACTAATAAATAAATATGAATAATTTGCATATCATTTCTCTCAATAAAATACGTAGTTTTAATTTTTGTAGTGCATTGGGACTTCTACTCTATGTACTGTATCGGTAGCGGACCGCGCCGCAGCCTCCGCCCGCGCCCTACGCCCTGCAGCCTGCAACTCTGCATAGTTCACCGCTCTGCGCCCGCGCATCGATACTCAACACTGCACTAATCACGAGTTAACACCTATTGTTAGGACTTTAGTTCACTCGCTGTATTTATGTCGTTATTTCTGATTGGCTTCTTGTATGTTTCTAACTTGTCTCTGCAACCCACACTCTTATACCGCCTGTAATAGCCGTCATCATGACGCTACACAAATACCGTTACAGTAATAACGAATCCTGAATGATACCATTTGAACCCAATCAGTTGTCACCGGATATGCACAGTTAATCTTCTAATCTTAAATGTTTTATGTCAGATTTAATCTGCAGGTAGCCTCGTAGCATATCTATTAATTCTCCCGCAGGAGACTTGTAATAGCAGGGATTACTAGCTAATATTTAATTATACAAATGAGTCAATTTGTACATGTCGTAGACAAGTACATAACTGCTATCTTCCGTTAAGGTTGTAATACGTTGTCTATTTATAAAGGAAATTTCTAGAAATTATACAAAGGTTTGATCGTGGGGAGCATTTATAAACTTTAGCTTAATATAGTAGTGAACTAAGATACGTTGATAGTACAATTTTCTTATTAAAATAGTTTTATAAACGAGCTATGTCTTCATAAAGCTGTCTCTCATTAAGTGCGCGCGTTGATGTCTTTTACAAGTGCGTCGACGCCTACGAATGTCACTCGTGCGCAGGTCGCAATTCCAACCATACCACGACACTTAGGGCTGTCAATAACAGTTGCAGTCTTTCAAGTGCTAATCAAGTCAGGCCTAGGATAACCGGTTATAGTCCGTTTACGGAACCCTGGTCGATTTCTCTGGTTTCCCATCAACGTCGAGGTGATATCGACCGGGAGACAATAAATCCGGTTCTGCTGCAGCGGGCGGGTTGCAATTAAACTAGTGTCGCGACGGGGTTCGCGGACCGTGCGAAAGTGAAGCACGTGGGGGGAGGAGGGGGCACCGTCTGCACACGCACACAGAGTAGGCAAACAGTGCAACCATGAGAATTGCCTTAAAGCTCCCGCGAGGTAAGCTTTCGCTGCACTTTCAGAGTTTATGTTACAAGTCACGTTTGTAGTCGTTGAGGCCAATCTATTTTAGCTTGTATACATTGGGTTTGATCGTGTAACTTTCAGCTGCTTTTTGTGTGGACTTTATCGTGGGTTTTGGAATATTGCATTTCGTATTTTGACAAGTTTCGAATTCGTGCCGGTGGATGTTAATTGAGCTAAATATTAATAAGGAGTTACCATTTTTAGTCTTCCTACAAGGATATATTTGAAATCCTTATTCAGACTGGTTATTTTACTCTGTGACTGTGGAAGGCTTGCGTGTGTGTCGGCGTGTAGGTGTTTGCGAGTGTATTCAGTCCGCGCGCGACGGCCGACGCAGACGCACGCGCCGCTGCCGAGTGCCATGTCGCGCTAGGCGCGCCCCCATGGTGTACCCCGAGGCGTCCCGCTGGGGCGCGCCAGACGCCGCGCTCGCCCCCCTCTACGATGACGTCTACAGAGGTCAGCTGATATTTGCAACCTCACCTATTTTAACCCATTCTCACCGTGACTGCCAGACAAAGTGACTTTCTGCGATCGTAAAGTGCTCCAACATTGCCTGATTTCTTCATCTCTGCCTGGCACCATTATTCCTGGCTTTAGGCAGGGTCAGCCTGAATTATCAGATAGTAATTGTCTGGTACAAAGCTTGTTGCCCCACAATGAGATGTGGTCACCGACTGCCGGTAGACACATTATCATCTGATAAATCAGACTTTGCATTGAGCAGTATAACGTAAAGAAACATCAAACAAATGTTTGGACTTGACATAAGCTTTCGGAAAGGTACGTCACAATCATTGTCAACTCCATTCTCTTTATTGAAGTTTCTATTCGTTAACGATTGTTTGAAGTCACTTTTTCTAGAGGCTGGGAGCTAGAACCATTATAAGTAACCACTGATGGAATTAGTTGTACCGCCTTAGTACGGAATAAATGCCCTGCAGCTCCGCTATGCGAATCTTCTTTGTGTGTAACCTGTGTCTCACTTCCAGCCTGTCGAAGTTCCCGTAGTGTATTGCGCTTCGATACAATCATTTAACGACCCTTACCCGTGAATATAATTATTAAGTTGTTATTAACATTTGTAATTCAAAACCGGTGCTTAACGACTCTTTTATTAGTCCTCCTTTTTTGTTTGACCCTAATCACATTTTACTTTTACCTTTTCAAAGTTTCAGCCCCGGTTTGGCTTGAAAATATTCTTTGTGCCGCGGTGCTTGTTTAAAAAATTCACACTTGTACAGACTAGTCTGATGACTCAGTCGGCAGACATCTGTTGCTAAACCATTATATTTACATTTCAATAGAGGCAGTTTATAATTGTAATCGTTATTTCACATTCGCCGCAGTGTTCATGAACAACATAGTGAAGGGAGTGTTAAATACTTTAAATCCAGTTCAGTAAGTTTTGTTTCACAGATAAATAGCATACATTACCTATTTAATATTCAGAGCTAACTACGTTGCGTCGAAAGTCTTTTTATGATATTACTTTTGTTCATTTTATTTACATTTATCTGATTAAAGATTAAATGAAACGAAAATAACTTATTCTTCGCACGTTTATTTCTAATAACATTGTCATGCAATAATTATCTTTGTTCAGATTTAGCGAAGTTTCAGTCAATTTGACAACACAAACATTGAAATCTGTTTGATTTTGCTAAATACGACTATACAAATAGCAAGAAGTGAACAGAAACGTACGATTGTAACGATATGAGGATAGAGTAGCGTGTTTTCCACCTGCGCCCAACTTTGTCTCGGCCCATTCCATAATGTCATCACATCAACTCCATACAAAGGCATAAGAGTACATGTTCATAATATTTCGACGTTGTCTGGTCGTGTTGAGCGGTTGTTTTATTGATAATTGGAACCTATAAGCTCATGTCGGTGCTTAAAAGCTCAATTAAACCTTGAAAATTGAACTGTCTTGAGGAAATTCAAATTGTGATTTTATAGTAGGTAGGTATCTCGTTTACGATCGTCTATAAAGTTTCTATACTCAGTTGGAATCGAGATGGCGAGATGGCGGGATGCAGAGATGCAGGCCTATAACGTAAGGTATGAGTTATTAAATGACCTGCGACTTTCGAATCGGCCTACATCGCGTGTACATTGACTACATCGAGATAATCTCTCGCGATTTCACGATCATTCATCGCATGTGTAGCTCGATGGTTTTTCTGTCAATTATTAGTTTTAATTGGTCGTTTACATTTGTAATTCGATGGTCCCATGTGATTAGCGACACAACTGTTAATTACGTGTTTTATTATAGTGTTTACTATTTTGTTAACTTTTGTTCGGTTGTTGGCGTTTTGTATACATTTACAGAAATGTAAATGAACCTGCTCTTACTATATTTTTATTGTAAACAATAGACTGTACAAATGTAAATTATATTTTTGGAGCATCTCCGAAATATTTAAATTAACATAGCTAATGGAGTTTCCTGTCAAGGAATTGTCCTAAAATTTAAATTTATTTACGTAAAATTCTAAGTTTGAATTAGCAAGATTTATGAACATCTACAGAAATTATTTACAAGTTTAACGAGACGGGAAAAGCATAAAGTAATTTAAAAAATATCAGTAATTTTGAGAATTTTCATGGGCAAACAGTTGCATTTGATGTTAATAAAATGGACGGACTAAATGGCTTTTTCTTACATTAACATTTTCGCAATAAAATGATAGAATTCTGCAGCAAATATAAAATTTTATGATTTCTTCTCGAGACTAAGGCGTGGTCCTCTTAGATGTGCGACCGTTAGTAGCGTCTGCGCATGTGGGTGTCCCCACACGTTGCAACATGCACAGGACTGTCTCAGATGCAATCGTTATTATTCTAGAAACTGTAGCCAGTATAACAGCGCTTTATATATCTGTGCTTATCATACAACATGGACGGACGATATTACTTTCCGGATATACGGTTATGTGAGTTTTCGGAATATACTACTAACTAACTTTTAAACTTTCGCGTTTTATATTTACAACATAAATTACGCGGGTATTAACGCGAAAATAATTATCTTAATACCTTGGCAGGCTTGACGTTTCGACCTGGTTGCATAAGTCGTGGTCACAAGCAGAGTCGAAGCTTATCAAGGTATTTAGATAATTATTTTCGCGTTAATACCCGCGTAATTTATGTTTGGGAATATTTATATCTATGAAATACCTGTGCCTTAGTACTTTGTTTCTATTATGATTCGACTAGCTTTTGCCAACATTAAAGTCACTCGGATGATTGTAGTCTATGATTATAAAATTCCTAAGACTATAATCCGTTTCTATGCCAGTTTTCATCAAAATCCATTCAGTTGTTGATCCTAAATATAGTAGCAGTAGATGTATTCAGTTCACAGTATTGTCTTAGTGTCTTAGGTGTAGAGCGAAAGCACTGTTTTTACATGACATTAAGAACAAGTAATAACTTTAGTCAAGTTTATGCTGAAGGTTATCAAAAGGTTCAAAATTATTAATATCTCAGGAACAGACTAGAAGTGGAATACCTGGAAACTTAAGAAAGGAGAAAGTGTTAATAACAACATTTGATCTAACTTCGAATGAGGTTTCTGTATCCATTCTTGCGGTTAACTTCATTCTCGTTCAATTGGTTCACTCAATTCTGAACAATTCAATGTTTATGTTCAGTTAACATAGTTGTTCTTTAGTAATGTTTTTTTTCTTTGTTAAAAGCAATCGAAGTAAAAAACAATCCATTTTGAGTTATTTTAAGACGAATCTATTATTTTTATCGAATCAATTTATTATTCACATTTTCTTGTTACGCAAAAAGGTGCTTTTGACCGTTTGGTACAAAAACACTTACAATCTTATTTATTTTACGTCGTCAATTTATATTTTCATTATTGAAAAGAAACATGTTATGATTGTGATATAATATTGACATTGATAAAACACACGTGTTAAAACATATAATGGAAATTCAAAAACTCATTAATAGTTTTCACTAAGCCTATTAAAATCTAGGCCAACACCCTTAGCAGTTGACTATGCTTGTAGGGTAATGAGTTTAATTTTAAAGCATATTTTATTTCTTCATTTTTTTATTAGTACATCAACCACCGATAAGTTTTAAAAGTCTTTTAATACATCCACGTTCGTGACATTTTTTCATCACCGTATCTATAACCTCATTACGATTCCCGCCAAAAAATCCAACATGGCGTCCGAGTTCGTAATTTTCATTCAACTTCGCTCCGAGTCCCTACAAATGTAATTTAAGTTATAATTATATTCGGAAAACAAGTATGTCGGTATTAAAATACTTTTAGCAAATTGTTTGCTATATTGTAATCCAATTTGAATAGGTTTTACTTTGAAATGTTTTAGGGACACCCTTCTCTCAAGGATTATTACAAATGTCACTGTCTCCTGTCAGCCTTAATCTTTTCCATTTTCTTCACTCAATAGGATTCAGTGGTCTTCGAAAATTCATTGTGAAAGAAAAAGGGACTCCATTATTATTAAGAACGATCATGTCGTGAAGTATTTGTTTTATTTTTTTTTGGTTGGAAAATATTGAGATGCCTTTTTGTTTGATGGTGTCTGTTGAGGGGACTTTTGATACTTGTATGCTGGAGGGACAAACATTAGTGAGAACAAAAATTTCTATTTTTTATAAATGTAAGGATTTCTATCCGCTCCCATCACGGTAAAAATCCCGTAATATTGAAAGTATTTTTTATTAAATTTCATAATAACACAATTCAATTTTAGATATGGAATGTTAATTTAGACGCGTATCGTAGTTATAAACAAATATTGAAGCCTTATTGGAAACAAACAACCACGTTATTATAATTTATAACATGGCTTAGCTATTTACAAGATAATGTACCTAACGTTAACTCCTGACCTTGTGCATACATGATCCCGAATAAGATAGAAGTACTTTGCGCAAAAGCCTTCATAAGCCTTATCAGTTTTACGAAGCCAGCGATTGTTTTACACCTTATTAAGATTATTTGTAAGATAACATTCTCAATACAACCATTAAACACTTCGGAGTAAGGTAAACGTCTCTATTCTCGTCTTTGTGTACCCCGTTCAAAATAATTCTGAGTTATGATGGCAATTATTGCGGCATTTACCCTAATTTGTTTGTTGTATTAATTTTGTTTGTAATTAATATTAGCGTGTTGTTTCTGTTTCTGACTATTGTTTTGTTTTGGATTGTATATTTTTGGAATCGTCTAGAAAGTTAAAGGTCACATAATTTTATATTTAGGTATAATGTTAACATGTAGATACCTAGATATTTTTATAACGAAAATGAGGATGAATAGGCATTTCATAATTTGCCAATATTTTTGGAACACAGAAAAAGGTTTTACTATTAATATAACATACGCAATGATTGGTTGCTTGTAAATAATTAGTAAAACAATGTAATTTAACATCAGCAGGTCTGTCTGTCTCTTTTATTGATTTTGAACTGAATTTGGCATGTAAAACAGTCGAAATTCCTTAATTTTGTTGTAACTATACTTTGATTTGTCTGACACACTAATTTGCTAATTTATAGATCGTTGTATAACTTGACGATCATTTCATTTCTTGTTTTTTTTTAAATATTGCTAGAATTATGACGAATATCACAGTAAGATACTTATTGATATGAAAATATAAAGTACTTATTGATATGAAATCAATAAGTACTTTATATTGCCTACTAACCTGTTTGGAATAATTTTATTTTTACTATTTAACATGACTAGCTGCAATTCTGCCTGTACTGGGAAAATAGCCAATATCAGACTATAATCTTTCTATCTATCAAATTTCATCCACATATTATCTGTTTAGGTAGTAGTTTCCCGTGAAAGAGTAACAAAAAACTATCAATCTATACTGATACATTTTCGCATTATGTACAAAAGGGCCTCTTCGGTTGTCTTTCTGTCATGTACTTTATATACGGTAGGTAATATGTTTTGTAGCTTTCTCTACGCAGGCAAAGCCAGGAGTAACAGTCAGTAGTTACAATTTTAAGAAATTTTTAGGAAAAGTACGAGAATCAGAGAAGACGTGATCTTTATTATTTTCTTCTGGCATTTTTCCTTCTTTACCTATCTGATCAACATTTTCAAATCCGATATAAGAATGAATAATACCTCAATAAAATTAATTTACCTTAATGTAGGTATGTTGATTTAATTTATTTCTGGCTAAGAATCCCAGTTTGTGTGCGGCATAACTTTTATTACATTTTCATTAATAGCCTTTGGAAATTTAAAATAAAGGTCGTGTTCTAAAAATTAGTTTCATTGTGTATTCTGTGGTTCGGGTTGATGAGTCAATATGTGTAGTGAAATCCAAACTTATTATGTAGATACAATTTTATTTTTTTTAAACAGTATTGACACATTTTTATAAACTGTTAATCTTGACACTTTGACCTTTTAAATCATAGTTTGTTATTTTGTCATTTCAAATTTCGTAAGCGTCTAAAAGGAATTCAGGAATTTAAGACATTTTTGGGATCGATCATTTCTGACGCTACAGAATTTGAACGGAATTGAAACTTTTATTGTACAGGGAAGGCACATTTTTTTTTTAATATTAAACTGTAATGTTTGATACCAAAAGATAGATATTTCTTAACAATAATATCGCTGATGTCAGTTTAAAATTAAAAACAAATGCAGGTTTGCCACTAAAACATGTTTCCTACCCTCCCAAAATACTTAAAATACTTTTAAACGTAAAATCCACACATTTATTTGTGTTATTCAAAATCGGATTGTCGGTCATTGAAGTCAGCTGCAAATAATAAGAGCAAGGCGTAGAGAAATATAAATACAAAAAAATATTTATTTAGGAATTTGTTACACTAGGGGCAGTTCAGTGGTTGTGCATCAGAAAGTAACCAGAAAATAGGCATCAAAGCTAGTGCACACGATCTTCATTATATTTTCACTCGCATTATCTCTCCCCTTCTATTCTTGTGTCCCCTATAATGACATAATTACTACCTCCAGTACCCGACAGGTGGGGTCGTATCGCACGGTGCTGCTAACTACCCATTTACTTGTTAAGAGCCTGACTAGGAACCCTTTGTTTAACCCTACTTTGGTTACACAAAACA